TCTTAAGATGTTGAATTTAATATATGCTGTAGCTCATGGAAGGAAGACGTGAAAAAAGGAAACAGACAGAGAGAGTGATGGAGAGAAAGAGGAAGGAAGGAAGGAGTGGAGAGGGGAGCTTTGTTTCTTGGAGTATGATCTCTACCAGGCCCTTAACTTCCCTGGGCCTCCTTTCATCATCAGTATGACTACTGGACAAGTCCTTTGGTTTTCAATTTTTTTTTTCTTTTACAATGAGGCTCCTTATTTTTTCTAGACAAAATCTATTAAACCCACTACGTAAATAGAGGACTTCAGTCTCTAGCAACATGGCATGAAATGTAACACAAACCCACATCTTGCTGTAATAAATACATATGAATGCTGGATAAGAGAAAAAGAAAAGAACTGTAAATACAAAATTGATTATGAACTGAAACTGAGAAACCCCAACTTCCAGGAAATAGAGAGGGAACCCAGTTTAGTTCGTGAAGCCTCACCCATGCAGGGATGTAGGGAATGGACGTAGGTTCTCATGGATTGGGGCTGAGATTTTAATTCCCGTATAGAGATTGGAGATTTATGGCCTATATAAAGCAGTAAGCTAGGACTGAAGCACCTGTCTAAAGGTAGAAACTTGCAAGGACTGTCTTCTCTATTTAATAGGGAATAGAAAAACTACCCATCAGCCAAAGACAGCAGTGAGGAAGTTCATTCTTGAGTGGGATTCTATGGGGAAATGAAAAAGTCTCTCTTGAGAAATTAGAGCCAAGGCTTGTGCCACACACAGATATGGATATAAGTTTAAATGTCTTATGTGATAAGGGAATCCTGAAAAAAACGAAATAGAAACTGGTTCAGCATGACAAAACCTGTGAAGCCCTAGCAAATATAGTTGCAAAAATATTTAGAGGGAAATATCTGCTACCAAGCATGCATAGGCCTTCTCTAGAACCATAATCCCCTTTTTAAAAATGAGCTTCCGGTAAAAATTAACAATCATGTGAGTTAATGAATTACCGTAAAGGGTGCATACCCAACATGCAAGAGGATTAGCAGTTTCAATAGTTTTAGGTAATAGAATAATCTGAAGAACCATAAAATTAGATGTTTAGAATCATTAAGTAAATGAAAAAGTAAAAATTATAGTAAAAAAGTACGGGCAGTATTGAAAGGGAACCAAAAAAGTTCTAGAAATAAAAATATGGTTATCAAAATTTAGAATTAATTAGATGCATTAAGCATCAAGTTAAGAAACACAGTTGAAGAGAGAACTCAGGAAGGTAGAAATGGAAATTATGATGTAGCTAGAATGAGAAGGTGCAATATACGTTTACTAGGAGTTCCAGAAGAAAGAATGGGGAAGAAGAAAGCATCCAAAGAGGATGCTTGAGATCTTCCATAATTGTTGAAAGCTAAAATCCTTAAATTCAAGAATCACAATCCCAAGCAAAATAAATCAGTATAAATGCACATCTTGATAAGGCCAACCATTGATAAGAGAAGTCTTTAAAGTCATAGAAAAAAGACAGATTTCCTACAGAGGAGCAGCAATTAGGTGGGCAGCAGAATTCTTGTTGGCAACATATACAGGCTGGAAGATATCTTGAACATACTAACAGAAGAACTTTCTAGTTTAATCTAGAACTTTATGCCTAACCACTCTTTTAAGATTCTAATTTTTGCAAATCTCTAAATATAAGCCAGACAATAAACTGTCCTACTAATAAATAACATACTTAACAAAAACAATGTTATGCCGAAACTATAAGGTGTAATCATTGGTGGAGATACTACTTTGGAATAATAAAATGACTCCACAATAGGATTATAGAGAAAGGCCACACATAAAATTCATTTATTGAGTCACTTGTAGTCAAGTTACCATAGGAAAGACATTTCATTCAGACTCACATAATATGCTACAGGAGTTATAAGTGTGATTCATTTTATAAAAACAAGACTCATAAAATATAGTAAAGAATCTTTACAATATTTCATAAAGAGACAGCAAGTGATCATGAAAATCTTTGGTCCCGTGGTTTCACTGGTTTTTACATGGAAAAGTACCCATAAGTGGGGTTATGCATTTTTGTTTTTTCAAAAAATAAGTGTTGCAAAGTTATAATCTTTCTGAAGGTGGTGACAAGTGATTATCAGTACTGAGCCCCCAGATGTTTTCAAAATAATAAGCACACTTAATCTCTCCTTTAAGGAAAAGGTGGTTGTAATAGGTGACAACATAACTGGCTTTTGAAAGATATTAATGCTGTGAAAACAGTTATTTGGAAATGTTTCCACTGTCACATTTTTGCCAATAATGATACTTTCTATTAAAAATAATATTCAAAAAGATAAATACTGTATGATCTCATATGTCCTAAAACAGTCAAACTCATAGAAGTGGAGAGTAGAATGGTGGTTTCCAGAGGCTGGGGGAAGGGGGAGGTGGGGAGGTGATGGTTAAAGGGTACAAAGTTTCAGATTCTTTAGATCAATAAGTTCTAGAGGGACTGTCTCGTTCCGTGCATCGTTCCCCACCAGCCACCTCCCCCACGTCCCCTTCCCTTACCCTGTCCCACCCTAGCCTCTGGAGCATAGAATTGGAGGAATAATTATTCCTCCTTTGGTAATGTGCTGGAAGCTTGGAAGGTGAACAAAACTGGAATGAGATAGTAGAAGGAATTTGAGATCTTGATACTCTTAAAGTCCAGTTAAAATGGAGAAGCCAGATTTCATTCTTGATTCTGAAGAGAAATATTTAGACACCTAGGACTAAACCAAGACCTTGCTATCCACATCTTTTGGTTATAGGCTCTGTCTTTAGAGTTTATTTTGAAAATACTATTAATTCTGGGAAATCTGAGTATTAGACAAATAATCTTTTTTTTTTTTTAAAGATGACCAGTAAGGGGATCTTAACCCTTGACTTGGTGTTGTCAGCACCACGCTCACCCAGTGAGCTAACCGGCCATCCCTATGTGGGATCTGAACCCGGGGCCTTGGTGTTATCAGCACCGCACTCTCCCGAGTGAGCCACGGGCTAGCCCAGACAAATAATCTTTTAAATATGTTCTTTAGAATTGCATTAACTACAGCTCTCAACATGATAAATACTATTTTAATGCAGTGACTTTTCTTAATCTTGGAAACGTTAACTCCATATAGTGTTCTTCAATCTTATTTTATAATTTTTATGAAACATTCCTCTGTAATTCACTGGTGTTTTTTTTCATGAGCACTTTCTCCCTTATCTTTCTGTTGTGGGGTTTTTTTAATGAGCACTTTCTCCCTTATCTTTGTGTTAAGGATAACACATTTCTAGCTAAGGAAAGACTAGTACTGACATGTTAAAAGACTTGCACATGATTATATATGAGTGGTGTTAACACCAAGTTTTCTCTTTTTTTTTTTTTTCCCTTGGTCAGCTGGCCGGTATAGGGATCGAACCCTGGACCTTGGTGTTAGTTATCAGCACCACGTCTCCCATTCTTGAATGCAGAAGTCCACTTCTCTGGCCTAAGATATCCTGATCCACCCCAAGGCCAGGATTGTTTCACTGAACCACTTATAACTCATTTTTTCTTTTCTCTGCATATCTGTACCCCCCTCCTGTCCCTCTAGCTCTTCTTCACATTTCCTGTTTTGAATGACCCAACCTTTAGGCCTGCCATTGGCACCACTGACCTTGTCCACCAGTGTACAAGGTTTTCTGGCCTCAACAGATATCATTTTTGGCTATCTCGCCCCAAAATATTTTTTAATAATAGTACAGTCTGTATTGATTAGCTGTAGATATCAGTGATTTCCATGGCTCGCTGGGAATTCTCTGGTGTTTTTTCTTAAAGGTCAAGAAGGAACTACAGAAGAGGCTGCTCGCTTTTACATGTGATTTTTACATCCAATAACTTGAAGCTCGTGCTGTTCATACTGACAGCTTTTTCAGATCCAAGAAGAATGCTGAGATTTCAAATGTCATCAGATTCACATAGTTTTCTCACATACGTCATCATAATTTATGGAGCACTTCACTTGTGCCAGGAACTGTGATGAGCACTTCACACAAATGACCTTATTTTGTCCTTACAAAATTCCTGGGATTCACGGTGGCAGGCACTGTCACCATCACACACAGGCAGGACACGCGGCCCCGGCAGGTGGATGTCTTTCCCAGAGGCAGGCAATTAGGCAATAGCAAAGCCCGAGTGTAGACCCATGTGGTCTAACTCCTGAGCCTGGATGTTAAATTCTCCATCTCATATCAATGCTTCATTTCTAGTTTTTAGAAATGAGTTAGTCTTTTGAAAATTATTTTAAAAAACAAAGAGTAGATGGTTTGACAGGGCCTCTAGCGCATCTTGATCTGCTTGAAATTTGCAGTGTGTTCTACATTTCTGGATGGTGTTTTAAACCTGTAATTTCTAGTTTTTAGAAATGAGTTAGTCTTTTGAAAATTATTTTAAAAAACAAAGAGTAGATAGTTTGACAGGGCCTCTAGCGCATCTTGATCTGCTTGAAATTTGCAGTGTGTTCTACATTTCTGTATGGTGTTTTAAACCTGTGCTGTACTTTAATTTGCAGGCCCAAGAAGTTAATATTAAAAGCTTTCAAACAATATTGGTTTGTCTTTAAAGATACGTCTATAGCCTACTTTAAAAATAAGGAACTTGAACAAGGAGAACCAATAGAAAAACTAAATCTTAGAGGTAAGAGTGTCCTACATCTTGCTGTGGCTCATATGACTCAGCAAGCAGGTTAAAGGCAAGATTCCTGCAAAATGGAGCAAGGTTTCCTTCTAGAGGAGACTCTCTGTGTCACTGTTTTCCAGATGGCAGATGGCCTGCAGCTCCTCTTCCTCATGGAGCACGAGCCTTGCATGAGGTCTAGTAAATGTGGTTATTTGCATTATGCTGTTTGTTCTTTCCCGGTGTGTCCAGAGTCTATGAAGTGGTGGGAAGTTGTGTTGATAGTAGAGCACATGAGGCATCGTAGGATCCTGGAAAGCCGTCTAAATTCAGTAACAGTTACATTTAATTCAGTGTTACTTTAGTGACAATTCTAATTTCTGAAAGTGACTGGGACTTATTGAATCCAAGTGGTGGGCATATGGCTATTAATTGTGCCATGTAGTCTTGCTCAAACTTTCATACGTTTAAAAATTTTTACAATAAAAAATTTTTGAAGTAAAATAAATAAGAATAGTAAATAAAGTGACTGCGAGTGTACCAGTAATTCTCTATTAATTGAAATATTTAATTAACCAATGCACTCAGCTCTCTCATCATTGTGGCAGTCAGAGAATTCTCTCTGCTTTGATTTAAAGTTCATATTCGTTATTGTTCCTATGAGTTAGAATAGCCAATATCAACCTGAAAAATGAATTCAATTCATTTTTATGATTTAAGAAAATTATAAAAGGGCTGGCCAGTTAGCTCACTTGGATAGTATGGTGTTAGTAACACCAAGGTCAAAAGTTCGGATCCCATACCAGCCAGCTGCTCCCCCGACCCAAAAAAAGAGAGAATTATAAAAGAAAACATTTTTTCATTATCCATGTTAATTGTTCATAAGTCTTATTTAGTTATCCTTTAATTAATGTTATCAGCTCACTCCTCTGTTTTTCAGAAGAGAACCAAATCTGAGGGGCTTATGTTCAAAGTCTTTATTTTAGATGCACACCTGATACTTATATAACAGATGCCTCAGAACTCAGTTTTGTCCCTACCTTTTGTCATTCAGGCTGTGAAGTTGTGCCAGATGTAAACGTTGCAGGGAGAAAATATGGAATCAAGTTACTGATCCCTGTTGCTGATGGTATGAATGAAGTGTATTTGAGATGTGAGCATGTAAGTAAAACCACAGAAATGTTATTCCCTTTACCTTTATTAAGCCTGAGAACAAAACAATAAGGTGTCTTCTCAGATTTCTCAGTCAGCTAGTGCTTTGTAACAATCACAGTGTAACACAGTCACAGTGACACTCAAGAGTAAACATTTGTCTCTGAAAGATCTGTGGGTAGGCTGGGGGTCAGGTGACCCAGGCTGCTTTGAGCTGGTCAGATGTGCTTTGAGCCACAGGTCTGGCTAGACCTTGCTGCAGGTTGCGCTTATTTTTATCTATTCTGGGTCCCAGGCTGCCTGCAGGAAGTTCTTCTCATAGTGACAGCAGAAGTGCCAGAGGGCAGCTGGCAACACATGAGGCCTCCTAAAGCTTAGGCTTGAAATTGGCATACCGTCACTTTCACCCACAGTCCATGGGCCAAAGTAAATCACATGACTGGGCCAGAAGTCAGGACGGGAATTACTGGGTTTCTTTTGGGAGGGACTGCAAAGTTTCATGGCAAAGGGTGTGGACACTGGGAGGGTGAAGACTGAGGCTGGTAATTCAGTGTACCACACCTGCTGTTGCTCTGAAGGCTTCCCCTCTTCAACTGCATCCCCTCAGCTTCTGCGGGCCACTCCTGTTCACTCTCTGAGGTCAAACATAAGCACAGACATTGAAGACCAGTAGACGCCACCACTAACTCACTAACTGGTTCAGATCCCATCAATGGCGTTAAATGTTTACTAAAAGGATAGACCAGGGTACAAACAATACAGTACATGTTCACTCTCTGAGGTCAAACATAAGCACAGACATTGAAGACCAGTAGACGCCACCACTAATTCACTAACTGGTTCAGATCCCATCAATGGCGTTAAATGTTTACTAAAAGGATAGACCAGGGTACAAACAATACAGTACCTCAGTTAATGACTTTTTCATCATTTTCTTTTGTCATTGAGATCGTACATGATATGTAAATGGAAATACATATCAAAGCAGGCTCTCTGGCAGTTTTGGGTTTCACCTGTCTGTGCTGCATGGCAGTACTTTGTGTCCTGAGATCATTTTTAAATGCAAAGGTCCTTGCATGGAATTTATCAAAGTCGGCATTCTTATCCTCTAGCCCCTTAGCATCTAGAAACTCAACACAGCACTCAAAAGCTGTCGTTGGGTGTTATGTTAAGTGGTTAACAGGCACTCGGAATGTGTGCCAGTTCACATCTTTCCTTGCTTGGAAGGGGATGGTTTTGTATTGTAATGGAGAAGAAAGCCCAAGTCCTGCTCTGTTCCCAGTGGGGCAGCATTGCCCCTGAACATGCTTCTCAGCCCTCTGATGTTTGCTGCAGGAGAATCAATATGCCCGATGGATGGCTGCCTGCATCTTGGCATCGAAGGGCAAAACCATGGCAGACAGCTCCTACCAGCCAGAAGTCCTCAACATCCTTTCTTTCCTGAGGATGAAAAACCGGAACTCAGCATCTCAGGTGGCTTCCAGTCTCGAAAGCATGGACATGAACCCAGAATGTTTTGTGTCACCTCGATGTGCAAAAAAACACAAGTCTAAACAGGTACTGTTGATCTTGTTGGGGCAGTTGTTTGCAGTGCATTCTTTATGTTCTGAAATAAAAGAAGAAATTCCATCTGATTGAGGCCATCATCATGAAAAATTGGTTGCAGAGGAAATTTGACTGTGTATCGGGGGTTAGATGATAGTATGAAACGATTGATAATTTTATTAGGGGTCACCGTACTGATGGCTAAACATGGCATTCCCAGCTTGAACTTATTTAAAAATAAAATTATTTAGTCCCCACAGTTAAAATTTAGAATTATTCTTCCATAAGAGTGAGTTAAAAGTTGCACGGATGAACTGATTCAAGAAGAACCATTGTCTGTGGATAGTCCACAGACCCCAGAAAGTGGAACCCCCAAACTCTTTATCTGCATGAACTGTCAAAGCTTATGTGTTGGTTGATCTTGTTCCTACTTCTCCCCAGCAATCATCACGTCTTGTAGAAAAAGAGAATGAACCAACAAGCATGAATTGCCTTTGCAGAGGTGCAGTTGGGCCTTGGGTTTATTGTTCTCAGTGGGGATTTGCAGCTAACAGGATGTTTACAGAGCAGTCAGTGCATGCTAAGGAGAGTTTGATGTCTCCTGTTTCTGCTCAGCTGGCAGCCCGGATCCTGGAAGCCCACCAGAATGTGGCACAGATGCCCCTGGTTGAAGCCAAGCTGCGGTTCATCCAGGCCTGGCAGTCCCTACCTGAATTCGGCCTCACCTACTACCTCGTCAGGTGATTACAGTGTTCACTCATCCCTCTAACTTTCCGTTCAATCCTAAGTGGCTTCTGGGAGCCCAGTTTATTCTCACTTAGTCTAGAATGTAGAAAGAATTATTTTTATTTCAGGATGCTGCCCTTTCACAAATACCCCAAACACTTTTGGCTGCTCATAAAAGTCTTCTGTACCTTCTGTTCAAAG